TCCTCCATTTCTGCTTGCCGCTGGCGTCAGGTTTCTTCGAGACTACCCAAATGGGGCTGCTCCAAGGGCTTTGGCTATGTCTAATGATGCCGTCGTCTAACATTTTATTAATTTGCCGTTGAACTTCCTCTTTATGGATAAAGGGGTATCTATATGATTTAGTGTATACAGGCAATTCATCCGTTGTTCTTATACAATGTTTGATTTTATTGGTGAACGTTAACTTTTTGTTTTCATGATGGAAAATATCGTTATATTCTTTACAAAGCCTTATTATAGCAGATTTTTCTTCTAAATTTAAATGTTCGCAACGAATTATTTTGGAAATGTCGCATTTACTAAATTGTTCTTTATGTTTTGGTAAGATGTGTTCTAAATTAAAAAGTTCAAAATTTTCTTTATGAAAGTCCGGAAAAGATAAAACTTTTAGAGGTTGTGGGAAATTTAACGTTATATTTTTCTCAGTGTAATTAAAAACTTCTGTTTGCGCAAAACCGTTTTTTGCAGTAGTAAGTGTTTCTGGAAAATAGAGACCTTCAATGACTTGCTCGGGAATAATAACATCATTGTTTTGTGTTACTGGAATTCTTACGTTAACAATTTCGTGTGCATTCACAGTAATACAATATACTTCGTTTTGTGGTTGTCTAAATAAAATTGGTATATTAGTTGTATTATTCCTTAATTGTTTATTAACAAGATCGATAGAAAAATTAAAACGTTTTAGGTCGTTTAATCCTATTATACCGTCAAAGAATTTATGAAAGTCAAAAAGGATAAAAGATAGGTTGGTATTAGCCTTTAATTCTGGGAAAGCCGGAATATCTGCTTTAAATAGAGTTTCCTTTTCACCAGTTCCTGTTTTAATAATAGTTGGGGAATGATATATTTTTTCATAATAAAATTTTTCTGCAATGGAAGGTCGAAGAATCGAGTGAAAACAACCAGTATCAATTAAAAGTTTAATTGCGGGTTCTTTAATCTGGATGTACGGTAAACTATTATTAATTTCGGTATACATTTCTAATGTCATTTCGTTGAGTCGCATTGGCTCGTTATTGTAAAATTTTGAGAGATTTGATTTTCAATTTCAGGGTGTTCGTCAAAATTTTGAGTGTCATTAAAGTATTCAGATTGATTTGAAAATTCAATTTCAGAGTATTCGTCTTGGTGAATATTTTCATTTTGAAATACCGCAGATGTTTCATCTGTTTGTACCGCGTTACTTTCGTCGATTTGGTATAATTCTTGCGAAATAAAATTTCTAGGGCCAGTAGGTTTGAAATGGTTAATTTGATTATTTTGACGTGGTATAGTATAGTTTGTTCTTGTTGACATAGGTTCGGGTTTATTGTTAGGTATCTGACCTGTCGGTTTAAATACGTTTTTAGGTGGGCCAAAAACTTGCCTATTTGTAGGAAAATTTCTTGGAACTTCGCGTGGTTGAGGCATATTAATTGGACCTCTGGGAAAACTATTAGTCTGGGGAGTAAACTGATTTTGATCATGCCTAATTCTAAAATTTTGATTATGGTGATTATTGTTTTGAAAATAATTTGTAGGGCGAATCGGTTGTACATAATTAAAATTTTGGTTACTAAAATAATTTGGATTTTGTGAAAATTGTTTAACGGGTTCGATAGAAGTATTAGGTAAAACTTTTGATTGAATTGGAGTTCTGAAGATATTTTGTGTATATTGAAAATTTTCCTCTTCAATAATTTGGGTCATAGCTAATTCTATACAGCTCGGATTTTTAAGTCTTATAATACTTTGTAATTGTCCTGGTAATCCTCTAATAAACGTCCTTAAACAAATTTGATCGTATTGACGTAAATGAATTACTTTGCTTGCATTATCCATAGTATCGGCAGGAAATGCATTAATTTTTTGAGCAAGGATACTTCTTAAAACTTGTAATCTTTTCCCAAAATCTAAAGGATGTTCATTTTTAAAGGGGGTGGCCATAAACAAATCCTGTTCTAAACATTCTAAATTTCGTCTATCGCCAAAACAATTTAACAAAGCTACTTTAATATTGTCCCACGTTACTAACTCCATTCTACAGCCTACTAGAATTTGTGCGCGATCAACAAGTTTCATTCTTATAGTTCTTAACAAATATTGTTTTAAAATTTCGTCGTTTCCTTGACCATATGTATCAAAAAGGAAATCTCCAGCTGATAGAAAACTATTTAAAGTGTTGGAATCACCATTATATGGCAGAATACTATCTATAAACATTTTTAACAAAGTGTAATTTACACCTGAATTCGACGATTGATTAGAATTCATTTTCAAATTGATTTGACTATTCTCTACTTTCTTTTCCACTAAATTTAACGAAGTAAAAAACGCACTTAAATTGTCGACGTCTTTATCTTCGTTCACAAATTTAATTGATTTTGAAATTTCTTAAAATTGAACTTAAACCTAAGAATCCTTAAAATTATTTCCACCGTCCTAACCAGGGAAGATGAAAGGAGAACAATAGGAATTTTGGGCACTAACCTTGATTTCTCTTAGTCGTCAGCCTATTCTTCCTATTGGAATTTTCCTTGCGTAGCACTGCTTGCGGGGGTGATTTCTTGCCTTCCTTGCCCTCAGTCGAACTCAATCACGTTGGGTTTGTCAGACAGTCTATCACTGGTTCGTTTTGGAGTCTAAGGGTTGAAACCCACGTTTCGCGATCAAATCGTCCCGATGACGTGGCTTTGACCGAAAACTACCCCAAATCCGTCACGACTGCGCCAGTTAAGGTTTTCTAACGAAGGATCTCGTTTTTAAAAAACACTTTTTATTTTGCAAACAGAACTACGAGGTTTTCTTTAACCCGCTACAAGGAGAACTGGACGCAAAGCACAGAGTTGTTATATATATAAAGTTTTTATGCAAGCGTCGCAGATACCGGATATACTGAAGCTAGCATTTCATCAGCATTTTCTATCACATAATTTCCTTAATGTTGCTTTTTTTTTATTCCCGAAAATTGCTCAACTAATAACGTTAACCCAAATGTTCCGGTTCGGAATGCTTCCGGGTAATTGCGTGTTTGTTTTTTCGGTCACTTCGGGCGTTTTAACGGTTTCGCGTTGAATATATTGTAATCTAGACCAATGTCCATAACTTAATGATATTAATTAATTGATCATCAAGGCGACCAATATTATTAATGTAATAACAATCAAGTTTAACCATCAATTCAATTTGAGTTATGGTATAGCTATTTTCACCTTACAAAATAAACAAGAAAAATTAAAAACTAGAAACGTTTCAATAAAATAAACCAAAAGATGCTTGAGAGAAATGTTTAGTAATTGGTTATCGTTCGTTCGTTATCGATAAATGAACCTAAACAAATGTCAATGGAGCAATTCACTAGTTTTATATAATTGAGCCAAGAAAAGAGAAAAATAAAATAATAGTAATAAAAACTATATTATTAAATATACATTAAGTTATATTATCTTTTAGGAAGAAATATTTACAAGAAGGTTATCATTTGCTAATAAATAAAACCATAAAATAAAACATTTATTTTCTATCGTAATTGAAAAATAATAAAAAATATAACAGTAACGAATGAAAAAGATTTTTTTTTGTTTTATTTCGATGTCAGTAGAAAAATAAACTGATACATTTATTAGTATTAGTATACTATTAACTAGAAGATCATGCGTTTTTGATCTTTCTCGACTTAGGGGTTATTTGTTTAAAAGAGATTTAAATAACTGGATCGAAGTTGCACTTTTGACTTCAACTGATAGTTGCGGATGTATCAACTAAGGTACACAAAGAACCGAGTGAAGTTTTGTTTTTGTGCTTTGCGTGTTTCGTGCTTGTCGCATTGCTATACTTGCACAAATAGTTGAAATTTCACTCTCGTTTTTCAATGATAGACGAAAATGTAAAAATCCCTGAAAATTGTTGTCTTCCACAGTAAATTATTTGCCGTAAATCAAAATTTGTAGAAACAGTGGCTAATTGGTTCCAACGATATTATAGGCCGCATCAAGAGCTACAATTTTTGTATTAATGGTTTTCGTCTATCACATACGCTATTCGAGATATTTGAAAATATCCAAAATCACTATTTGTCGGGCCCAGTCGAGACGCGATGACCTCTACTTCGAACATTTTCTAAATTATATACAGGGTGTGTTGTTTTGGACCAAAAATTCAAAAAGATCCTGAAAATTGTGGATAAATTATTGGTTGTAAATAAAAAACGGTAAAAGGTGAGATAATTTGATTTAATCGGTATCGTAAACTGTGCCGAGAGCTACAATTTTCTACTTGCGGTTTTCGTTCATCATACAGAGTGAGTGAGAATCGGCTTATTTGAAATAGACTGCGTAGCGCGGAGCCGTCACCTCGCGCAGCGACGAGATTACGAAAGCAATCTTGTTTCTTAACGAATATGTCAGTTGGCAAAATCTAGGAAGGTTGGTGACTAAAACAAAATACTGGCTTATAGTTAAAGAACAACACCGTTCGATAAGAAATTGTACGTGGAACTTGAAAGTGGTCTTCTGGTTGGATTACCTCAATGGTTGGCCAAAAATTTTAATGGAGAAAACATTAATAATTTGAACAAGGATATCGCTAAAGGAAAATCATTGTATTTAGTTAATTTAGTTATTAAGAACATGAAGTATATATAGGATAAAATAAAATTAGCAAAACGGTATAAGGATGGATTAGTTAGTTACCTTAGATTGCCATATAATGTAAAACAGGAAATTAATATGTTGCAAAAAAAAGTACTTAGTAAGCTGAACGTCGGTAAATCTAGCAATAATATAGAAGAAATATTTTATGTTAACATTACTTAGGTCGTTTTATTTTGTTTTGTCTTTTATGTACATACATACACAAGATGATGAATGTGAAGATAGAACTTCATACTACAAAATAAATAAAATCTGTTCCGGTTTTGTATAGAAGGATAAACCATTTTTTTGGCATAATTTCGCTTAGGAAATCATTTTTGTTTATAGGTCACGGTGGCGTCAACCAATTGGGCGGAGTATTCGTCAACGGTCGGCCACTTCCGGACGTAGTTCGGCAGCGGATCGTTGAACTCGCCCACAACGGAGTCCGGCCCTGTGATATTTCTAGGCAGCTGAGGGTGTCCCACGGCTGCGTCTCCAAAATCTTGTCTAGGTAAACCTACAAAAAATCATCCTAAATGTCAACCCCTCTCGTTCCCCTCGTCACCGCGTCTAGGCACGGCTGTTTTACGTAACAACCCCTCGTTGGGTAATCCGACCCGACTTGGAGTTATTATCCTGATAACTCTCCAAGGATAAATGCCAGGCGGGTCCCGGGAGAGACGTATACGGCGAAACCCCTTTTGTGACGTTATTTCGGGCTAATATACGGCAATAATTGAATTGCGCTTGATGCGTTTCGATTCAGAAGTGGGATGTGTGACGACGCGATTTACACCCCCGTGACGAATTTGCGAATATTATTGGTCTAACGAAGCCCTCTGGTTTTATTTAATGAAATTATAACGCTTAATAATTTCAGGACGCTGCGGTTGAGTTTGGTAGATAGAGGGAGATAATAGTATTATAATTATTACCAGTGACTATCGGCCTGAGAAAAATCCTGGGCGAAAACATGTGTTTAGTTAAATTAAACGATTTTTTTGTGAGAAAAGTTTTTTCTGACGCATTCTGTTATATCTCGTTAAGATTTTATTTTATCAAAATGTTTTCAATACAAAAATTGTTTGTATGAGCATGAAGAGTAGCATATTTCTAAGTTCCATATTTTAAATAGAACACCCGGTATAACATTTAATTTTTGGATTTCTGAAAAAAATGTATGGAACATTCCTTTAGGTTTCCCTATACTTAATTCTGATGTATTGATTACTTTGAAAGTATTGGAAGCTATAGCATTATTTTGAACAATGCACATTTTGAAAGCCACCGTCAACCACTTTTGGCTCGTGGCAATCCTCTATACGGTAAACGAAAACGCAATAATTGATTTATCGCCTACAAAGTACCAAAACTAACCAAAACCAAGAAAAACTTATCAAACAATTATATCATTTTCGAAGATAGATTTTTTCAAATATGAAACCCTATATATTATTGCGTTATTGATCAATTTTTAATCAATTTTCAATAATCAATAATCAATATTTTATTAGAACCCTAAAAACAGTTTCTTAAAATTTTCAAAAATAGTTCACATTACTTGTGTAATACCTACTTACAGGGCTTTTTATTTAATTTGGGTTGCTCCAAAATTATATCAAGTTGTAATTACTCTTGAAAATATATTGTTGAAGAGATTCTGAGAAAAATTAAGTAGAAAACAAAGTGGTACTTCCAGAAGCGAAACAAATATAGCCTTTGATTTTATGGATTAATACAAAGAGAATGTTGTAATAACTTGGCAAATAACTTGTTGATAATAACTTGCCCTCTAAACTGTATTCTTTAAATTTATCATAACCTATTCAGTAAATTGGCAATGTTTTTGAACAACGATGCCTGGAACATATAAATATCTGTGGTGAACGGTAATCAGTTTTGTTTAGTTTATAGCGATATTTTTCGAGATTGAATTTTCATTTGTTTACAAGTCAATTGGTGATTTAATATTGTGGCCAAACAAATCATGATCCCAACGACGACCAGTACTAATTAATGTAAAATTTTACCTAATTACCCGAAAATTCTCAAATTTCGACTTTAATTTAAACCGCTGACAATAAAAAGTAAGCGACCGAAGTTAACTTTATGGCTTTCTTCTGTCGTTTTTTGAACGGCACGTGCCAAAGTGACACCCCCGCGGACCAGGTCGAATGAGGAGGGGTTCCCCATTAAAACGATGTCACTCTAATAAAAATAAGAGCCGGGGTTCGTTGTTTGCCATACAATCGGGGGTTAATCGAGTTGATTGATATGAATGTCGAAGAACAGGCGACGAAATAATAAATAAAAACGTTGGTTAAATTATTATTAAAGCGGTCGTTAAAAGTGACGCCGCGCAGTGGGTAAAAATAGGTATTTTCCAAAAAAAAAGTGTCGAAATACCCTTCACTATTTTAATTTTATTGGTTTTCTAGAATGACAATAACAATATTTTCCACAAAGGGTTTAATAGTTTTTCTTACATTTTACAATAAACACAATTTATAATACTTCTAATACAACGGCTGAAATTGAAAGTAAATTTCAAAAACTATGGTTATGGTTATTTCCTTGAGAAGGGCAAAATTTTCTAAACAAAAAAAGTCATGGACATTAGACTTGTAAATCGATGTAGTATTTTAAAAGTGATCTTAAATTTAATATAATATAATTACCATAATAAACTCTTATAAATATTATAGCTTAACTGAAACTTTAATTAAAACAGTTTCCAAAGAAGCCACTAGGATGATTGGCGAAACAGCAAGCTCGACTTGCCAACAACCGATGCAGGAGGAATCCAGAAGATGTATAAATAATATATTCATGTTAACGGTGGCCAATTATTATCTGTACATAAATTATGCTTTTAGTAATTAATTACTGATATTTATAATATTTTGTTATATGTAAATTAAGATCGCTTTTAAAATATATAGAAATTTGTTTGAAAAATTGACATCAATATATTACAAAACATTTTTAGAAAATAAACTTTGAATACAACAAACTAGCAGGATACTTGAATGAACCCAATTTTTAGGAATAAAACAAAACATTGTAAACTTGCTCTAAAACATTGAAAGCAAAAGTGATTCAAATGCAATACGCGAATGTGTAAATATATTTTTGTAAAAACTCATTTGCCATGTTTCCATTTTTTTATTGTCATTTAACTAAATAGTGAAATTGCTAAAATTGATTAGCGCGAGTGACGTAGTAATAATAATTTTCCTCTCGAGAAGAAGATAGGGAGAAATTTTATTTGTATTTTCAATCCCTTAACCCAAAAAAGATACTGAAAAACAAGGGGGCTCAGAGATTTTTCTTATAAACATCAATTAAATCACATACTAATACATCACTGAACCTCAAAATTTTTCTATAAACAAATATAAGTTTAATAATAACTTAAAAGAAAATGCCATATATATGCCGTATTACGGGAAAGAGTTATAAATCATTATTGAACTGGAAAACTTCTATAGGCGTAATATTGAACCTATGAGAGTTGTCAAGGGTCACGAGAGTGACAGGTAGACGGAGAAGTAGTTAACCTACCTCTGCCATAGTGTTTAATTAATTGTTACTTTTTAGCAGTTGTGCCTAAAGTTGATTCTTGAAAATGGCTAGTGTTTCTCAATGTGTTGCTGAGAAACCGATTAGTAAAACTGCGCTTGCTAAATATTAAAAAAGCGTTCAAAGCTCTTCGCCACCAAAACTCAACATTCGGAGTTGATCTGAAAAGAATTAATATCTCAATTATCTTCCCATCTCTATAATTATAGTTATGTATAAGTATTATATTTATTATTCAAATAAACTGCCTGTATTAACACAGCTTTCCTTCAATCACCAAACTCGTCTTCCTGTTATATGCAAATTAGTGTGATCATAATTTAGTATTGATTCGATATCGGAAATAGAGAAATTTGTATTTTATTCTATTTTATCCAATTTATCCGAACTTTACGATATAACCGTTAAGTTGTCCATCATGTTTAATGATCCCTTCCCCTTTCGAAGCTCGGTTTGATACAAGGGATAGGTTTTACATCCTCAACATTTAAATTAGGTCTCCTGGTATAATAATATTGAAACAATTTTCCCGCCACTGGTGTGTACCATTTCAGCTGCGTTGTCTAATTAGATCTCAATTATCGACAGTGCGATTTATACACGCAGCATGTTCGTTTTATAGCAGTTCAATTACTCATGCACATTTTTTATTATTTCGATCCTGGCATTCACACGAAGAGAAGTTACCAATTTATGTTCGTCGCATTTATACAGGGTAGCGCACTATTGCTGAATTCTTTTATATCTCAATCGAATAAATTATTTTATTTCTCAATATCTGAGTGAGCTTAATAGCATATTTTTTCTAGGTTTCCCTTTAACCCTAGATATTTTGGTTATTTAAAAAATTTGGAAAGACATTATTTTGAACAATTCCCTTTTTTTACACATTTTTGGGATTTAATTTACCGCGAAATCTTGGGGACACGTGTATTTAAAATTCAAAGAACCATTTTAATACTGTTCACATATATCTTTAAAAACATGTATGGGATATAAAATTTAATTCTACATCGATGAATCATACTTTTCCCCATACTTATTTTCATTCCTTATCTTGGTATTTCATGTTTTCTATTTCAATCAAAACTAGAAGTCGGGTCTAGTTAACTAGTCGACTACCTTATGGCTGTTTAATTGAAATTTAAGCTTTTTTATAAAACTTTTTATACGTTGCTCCAAATTTAACTCACTATCCACGATCACATCTAAGTTAGGCTCGCACTCACATACTTCAAGCCTGAACCCTTTTTATAATGATATTATTTTTAGCATAAAATATTAGTTTTGATATAGGAGGAGTCAACTGTTGGACATAATTTGAAACTCTCTATTTATGTCACTTAATGACAAATTGAGGTGTGATATGTTAAAATGCATGGAAAATTTAAATAAACTGTTATGGAGAAATAATAGAATCAATCCCGCAGTGATGAACAACCCTGTATAGTAGGTATCGAATGCAAAATCGTCGGCTCGAACGTCAATTTGTGCGTTTTTCATCATTTAAATTACGAGAGTACGGACCTGCTTGGATCGGTCATAATTCGCAACAGGGCAGCATGTACTGGCACTTAATAATCGTTGAAAATCGGAATAATTCTTTGGCAGAACTCGAGCAAAGAACTTAATAGAGCTATCAAAAGGCGCCTACTCGCCTCTTTTTCGTAATTTAAAATCCTTTCTTTCGGTTTGATTCGGTTTTTATCGTCTCGGACGGCGGCAAGATCAAAGCTTATCGATTCGTCATTAACGAATATCACAAGAAGTTAATTTAAAAGATTTGATATAGTGAAATCCTGAATTTTGTCCGATGTGCCCGGTGACTGTTTAAAAATTTTTGACTAGTGTCGTACAAGGTGTACTAAATATATACCAAAATCAGCTGCAACTACTTAACTACTATACGGATTTTATAAAACGTGATCT